CGTAGTTCTTGCATTGACATGGTTTTCATTAAATCTTTGTTTTACTCCAGGAACTATTTCATTTCCGATTCGTGCATTAAAGTCGTCCATAAGAATTTAGGGGTTTTTCATGAGGTATTTCATCCAGGATGGTTTGCAATTTTTCGTAGGATGCCTCTCGTTCCTCCTTAAGTTCGCAGTCCTCGGGGCTATAGATAAATATGACATTTAATTTTTGGTAGTCCATTGTGATGTTCATATGTATTATTCTTTTAGAGATATAAAGGCAGTTATTTATGTAGTCTTTAAATTTTTTATGGAGTATATACTTAGTATATACTTCTTGGTTTCTTAGATTGCACAAATGTCTATGTTTGTATTAATCAGTTCTTCTATTATCTCTTGGTCTTTGTTCCTTGAAAGAACTAATGTTCCATGTTGCTAATCTGCTCTGAGTGTGCTTATTTTTCCTTCTCGTTTTCCTTTTCTTTGCATGGTTCGTCATCTTCGCTTCCATCTGGTTTTTAGGCTTTATATCGGTTCTTTGAGCCTTGTGTTCCTTTACAATGTGTAGGATACTAATATTGCCCATCAACCCTCCTCATTTATCCGGGCTTGGGATCGGCTATTGGCATAAACCCGGCTTCTGAGCTATTAAATCTACCCATTCCTCGCGCTCATAATCCCCAGGCAGAGTTGTGTTGGTCAATTCAAGTCAAAAATCATCCTTAAATTAGAACGCTGAGAGAAAAAGATGAGCTGTAAGATCCATGAGGCTGTTAGAAACTATAACTGAACATAGAGACTAAAACGAAACAACGAGGTAATGGAAATGTAGTCTAGAAAATATGAGCGTAACGAGAAGCATATTTTGTGTATGCCTTACATAAGAAAATACTTCTAAGAGTGAGGACGTACAGCAAAGACCATTTAAAAAATGTTAAGAAGATATAAAAAAGGGTATTCGACTTTGAGAAGTATCGAAAAACAGAGGTTATTACTTCGTGAAATATTTTACTTTTATTTAAAAATTGTTAATTTTGTTTGCGCAAAAATCATCTTGAACTTTAAAAAGTTTTATACAAAAAACCCTTCTCCCTTTTTGACGTTAATCGAAACGTAGACTCAATCCAGTCCTGCGTCAAACGGAGATATCAAATTAAGGTTTATCAGTTACAAGTTCGTCGGGTTTGTTTCATTCTGAAAGGAAATGAAGTGCCGTTTTATTATCTGTCAAGCGAAAAGGGATGAAACTTTTAGGGACGATGCTGATGTGGGACGAAAGGGTGAGAAACTAGGAGCGATCTTTAGATGGATTCTCACATTTCACTGCCGTTCTTGATCGGAATCGATGATGTGAGAATTTTAGAGGAAATGCCGTAAAAATGGGGGAGGGGTGCCGAAATTGCTATGGATCTAGTAGAAAAAAATGTTTGTTTTGGAGCCCAAATCGTGGAAAAGTTATATTAATTATTATTCCATATAATTTTATTGAAATACGTAAATAAATCTTGGAAATCAGTTGTAAAAATCAGTTTTGAAAAGGCGGCTTTTGAAATTTATTGTTATTTATAGCGATTGAGACAGGTATTTTTGTGACCAAAAACACTGGTATTTCAAAAACTTTGTAAAGCAATTTCATTACTATGGTTTAAAGGTCGATATATTTTCGTTGGAAGTTTCAGTAAAAATTCAAAATCCTTTCAACAAGATTATTCATTGCTTGTTGCTAAATGCTATTGATCGTTTGCTTTTGACATTCAAAAAATATTGGTGTAACTAGAACACGCGCTGACCCAATGAAATTTGCAATGTAATCCAAAGCTTATTAAATAATGTGTACAAATTATATTAGTAAACCATTACATAAATAAAGGAACGTGAATTAAATAGCTGAAAATTATCGGGAGTAGATCATTATTGTTAAGAATTAAGAGTTAACATTCGAAGCTAGTGTTGTCATCTGTCAACTAGGTACTCTTTCTATTATTATACTTTGAGAACCAATATAGTAATTGTGAGTATCCAGTGAGTTCGAGTTAATCAACCACATGCAGGGGGCAAACTACCCCTAGAGTTCCAATATTATTATATCCAGCATTATTATACTAAATAGAATTAAAAATTTGTCTGTTTGTTTCTTAGGATTGTTTGATAAGATTCTTACTGTGTGAAAGTAAAAACACGTACTGTAAATATAAGTTCAATATATTGTCTTCTTAGACACTCCATTAAAAGAGAACAATAGATAGATATTATAAACACTTTAGGAAAAAGATATAACATCGCTGGCGACTTTAATACAAAGACAACCCACTGGGGTTCTAGGATAACTACAACTAAAGAGAAAGAACTATTGTCAGCTGTTAGGGAACAAAAGGGTAAAGTAATATCTACTGGTAGACCAACATACTGGCCTACCGATAGGAACAAAAGTCCAGACCTGATAGATTTCTTTATTTACAAAAATATCTCAGCTAACTATCTGGTTATTAATGACGGCTGTAACATGAACTGTGATCATTTACCGATAATTTTAACTATATATGATACAGTGATCTAAAAAGAGTTCAATCCAATATTGACTAATAAAAACTTTCAACACAAAATTAATCTTGTTGTGCCATTGAGAAACACGACAGTAATGGTGAAGAACTGAAATGGAAGGAACCATTTCAAACCGAACAGATAATAACGTTGACATTATTTACCGAAGTATTAACCGAAGAACTATTAAAAATCTACCAATAAAAGCCATGTTTAAGTTGACACACCTAATAAATGCTGCTTTTAGATTGAGATATGTTCCGAGACTCTAGAGAGTAGCCGAAGTCATTATGATCGCCAAACCAGGTAAACTTCCTAATGAAGCGACATCCTATCGAAAAATATCACTCCTTTCAGTGATGTCAAAACGATTTGAAAAACTTCTATTGAAAAGATTAAAACCAATAATAGAAAGAAAAAATCCTATACCAAATTATCAATTGGGTTTCAGAAATAAACATTCCACTATAGATTACGTTCATGCCTAGATAGTATTCAGAAATCTGAGAATCATAAATTGCGATTAGATATTTCAGAGTAAAACAAGAAGAAGTGTACACCGATTTAAGGGAGATTAAAGCTGGCGTACCACAAGGGAGTGTATTAGATCCGGTCCTGTACGTATTGTATACGTGTTACATTGCAGAGCTAGAACAAAAATACAATTACCACCTTATCGGACGATACAGCCATACTAACGATAGGAGACAGTGAAGAAGCGAATGATAAGTGGCAACTATCAGTAAATACAATGCATACCTGGATCAGAAAATAGCGAATAAAATTAAATGAGACTAAATCTGCACAAATTAACTTTACAAATAAAAATATTGAATATTTCCCAGTTAGAATAGTTGATAAATAGCTGATGTTGCATAAGAAATTTCCTTATGCAACATCTGCAAAATAATTGGGCATCACCCTAGACGTGAAGCTGCGCTGGAAAGTCCATGTCATAAAGAAAAAAGGTTAGCTTGATATTAGATATAGGAAATTGTATTGGCTGATTGAACAAAATTCAACATTATCCATTCATAATGAATTATCCATTTACAACCAAGTACTGAGGCCAGTATGGGTATATGGGCGCCAACTCTGGGGCTGTACCAAAGCGAGTAATCTACATATTATCCAGAGATTTCCAAACAAAGTACTGAGGTACATTGTTGATGCTCCTTGGTATATCCGTAACAGCAGCCTCCATCAGGACCTGGGTATGGAAACTGTAACCAAAGTAATCAAGAGAACAGCAGCAAGTCAGGATAATTCAGAAAATAACTGATAATTGGTCATTTGTGACCAGATAGCAATATACAAATACCGTACATTTGTTATACAAAAAAAATTATGTTAACAATACCGATGCAAATAAAGTTTTGTTGGAAATATCAGTAATCAACTGCATTCGATCCCGTTATTCTACTTGGTTTCGATAGTTTTATGATACTTTTGTCATTAACTTATTAATTCATTACTACAATCTGTATTTCAAGTTATTCATGTTTTACATTTTATTAGTATTATATAACCTATAGTTTCCTCCATATCTTCTTCTTCTTCTTCTTGCTTTAAGTAATCCAACTTTGGACATAGGCCTCCCCCAAATTAATCCACTGTCTTCTATTTTGCGCTACTTGCTTCCAGTTGTGTCTACCAATTGTCTTAATATCATCCGCCCATCTCATTTGTGGTCTTGCTTTGCTTCTCTTTCCTAACCATGGTCTCCATTGTTGTATTTCGTGGTCCCATCTCTTATCCTTCGTCGGGCATTGTGTCCTGCGAAGCTTTATTTTAATTTGGCAGTATGTTCTCCTGCGTCTTTTACTTTCGTTTTGCTTCTTATCCATTTGTTGTGTTTTTTTGTCTGTAAGTCTCACCCCGAGTATTGATCTTTCCATCGCTCTTTGTGCTTTTACTATTTTATCCATATAAGACTTGATGAATGTCCACGTCTGTTAACCATACGTGAGTATATGGAGGATACACTGTTCGTAAATAAATTTAAATCTAATATATATAGAATTTCCCTGTCTTAATGTTAGTTACCGTACTCCTCCGAAACGGCTTTACCGATCTTTACCAAATTTTATATGCGCATTCAATAGGTCTGAGAATCGGCTACTATCTATTTTTCATGATAAGGGTTGTTCACCATAATTTTTTTTTTTTTTCGACGAAATTTTTTATTTTTGTTTTTTTATAATGTTGCATTAAAAAATACATACAACTCTAAACTTTTACTTTTTTATCATCAACCCAGATTTTTTTATGGCTATTTTAGTAATTTAATCATTTTTCATCTCGCTCGATAACTGATCAATTATAGTGTTTTTAACTGTACTTCGATTAAACATCTAAAATGTTTTTTAAGAAAATAAACATTTATTTTTATTATTAAAGTTTAATCCTGATATATGCTTAGTGTTACCAATCTTAGATTCTTCAAATTTGCCGCACCTTTACTGGTGAGTGAAATGCCTCACTATACTGTCACGCGTCAAGAAAAACTACGTGAAATTGAAACACCACCTGAACTATTAAATGGTTTACTTATCGGCACGGATCCAAATTATAACGTATTCCTTAAGTCAATTCGAACATTCAATTCCGCTTTCAAATGGGTTGAATGTACTATGGCACAAAAACATTCAATTGAGGCGTTAAACAGGACATTGAAAGATATTAAAAACAACGACAAACTATTTGGCGGCACTCTGTTGGTGCTTTCAGGTGATTTCAGACAAACACTTTCCGTCATTCCACGTTCAACATACGCTGATGAGATCAACGCTTGCTTAAAATCATCTCCATTGTGGCATACTGTTGAAAAAGTACAGCTGAAAGTAAATATGCACGTTCAAATGCTTCAAGATCATACACTAGAATTTATCTAGAAACTAGAAATAATTTATAAGGCAAAACAGCGTTTGCCGGGTCAGCTAGTAAGTAAATAAATTCGTAATAAATCATAATAAATAAGTAAATATTTCCCCGTATATCCATCGATAAACCAATCCACTATGTTTATTTTTGTTCCGCTAAGATAATGGACTTCGACCGGAGTTAACGTAGTAACAATAAAAAGGAACAATAAAAATATATTTTGTTTTTATCCTTGCTTAGCCCAGCATGGAGTTAACTGATCTTTATTGTCTCTTTACACACAACAGATAAATAACAATTTAGCCGCATTATAAAAAAAAGCTTTAAAAGGTTATATCGTGCGACTAAACGTTTTATATTTTTTATATAGCTGCGAAAAAGATAAGCAAATAGGTTATGTTCAGTATCGTATCGACAAACGGTTCCGTGTTTGGAAGATTTATAAAAGAAATAATAACAAAGAGAAAGGATGATGTATTTGGTGTATTATTCTTATCTAATATGTTTTTGAAATAAATCTTAAATAACTCTTGAATATTTTCAATCGAAAATAACAGATAATCTAATCAAAAGCGAAGTCTCAAAACTGATTTTCTTAATACTTTAATTTGCAATAAAAAATAACAGAAATCTGCATTAGAATAATCTACAATATCCTATTAAACTGAACAAAGAAAAACAAATAGACCAAAAATTCTACAGATGGAAAGAATATCGGGAGCAGCTTTTCCAGTATCGTCAAGAACCAAAAGGCACTTGAAAAAATGCTGGTCTATTATCATCATCAATGGCATTACAGCTCGTTATGAGCCAAAGCCTTCTTCAGAACAATCTTCCATTCGTCCCTGTCTCTCTTTTTAACGAACAATCTTGCCCTGAAATAAAAGATAAAAAAGGTATATATATTTAACCCAAAACTGAGATTAATATGATTAGAAAATTAATATCTCGGAGTTAAACCGTGATAAATTTGTATACGCCGAGCTTTCGACTTCGTCTCTGGAGTCTTCATCAATTTTTTAGGGGTCTTAGTCTTCTGAGCCCCCAGATCACTTTACTTGTCTACTCTTCGTTGCACTGTGATTGCATAGGACAGGGCACGCGATTTACACCATCGATGGTTACGTGATTCACTGACGTGGCGTTTGAGTGGAAGTTTCACGCAGAGCATTGATGAAGACTCCAGAGAAGAATTCGAAAGCTTCGTTGAACTCGGAATTTATTGCTAGTATTTATAATAATCTAACTCTTTTTAATTATATTATCGGCAGGAGCCTTTCCACATACACACATAACGTTAATTTTAACAATATTAAATTATTTCTGTATGCCATACGTCTTCAGACAGTCGGATAGATACAAACTCATACACGGAAAGCCAGCAAATGTGTCGTGCTATTTCAATTTCTCCAGTGAATGCTGATAGAAGCACAATTTTGGTAGCAAAATATTACTTCTTCGACCCAATTTATCAAATCTATAGCAAAGCTCTTGCTGAAATTTGTAAATCTTTTACACATTTCATACAACTCAAAAACAGAGAAAACGACAATCGTTTTCGTTTGAGGCTACCAAAATAGGTCGTAATTTTTGCTGCAGTTTTTTGAGAAATTTGTATTGTCTTATCTACATCGTTAATTATAATAAGTGACTTCAAAGTTTTCTTAACAATTGCCTTTGAGGAAATGATGGAAAACTTAGAATTATTCAAAATCATTTAATCCGTATAATTAAAATTGAAAATTTAATAAAATTCCTACACACATTATCTATAATTGTTTGGACCTGTATTCAAATAGAGAAAATAAAGATCTCTGTATTTTCTTTTCTTTTTTAAATTAAATCAAGAAAAGCATTTTCTTTTGAGAAATATTACGTCTTTTAATTTTTTTATTGGAATTAAAAGATTATATTTATCGCGAAATAAAATCACTGAATAAAATATTAAAAAAACCAAATTAATTATTATCTAGTTATGATCGTGGTAAAAAGTCTTTGTTGATTATATGGCAAACTTATTATTATTATCCCGGTTTTTTTATAGCGTTCTTCGCCTTCCGGTTCCCAGTTTCCAGCTACGTCGGTTATTCCATTCGCCAGGGTGAAGGTTTCTTTCCGACATTTCCTTCTGAATGCCACCCAGCCAGGATTGTTTTGGCCTTCCTCTCTTCCTTCTTTCCCTTGGCGTCCATTTTAAAATTTGGTTTGGCAGCCTGTCGTCGTCCATTCTTTTCACATGACCATGCCAGATCAGTTGTCTCCTTTGAATTTCGTCAATGATGGTTGACTTGACTCCCATTATATCTCTGATATGGTCATGTTGTATTCTATCAAGCCTTGATTTTCTAGCTGAGCTTCTCCAGAAGTCCATTTTCAACGCAAGTAGGCGTCGCTCAAGGGATTTAGTAAGTTGCCATGTTTCACATCCATAGAGCACTATACTTTTTAAGATGGAGTTAAAGAGGCGATGCTTTCTTTGATTTGATAGTTCTTTTGACCATAGCATCGGAGTTAGGCATCCTATCACTCTTTTTCCTTTCACGATTCTTTGCTCTATCTCTTTTTCGGTGCGCCCACTCTTGTTGATTGTTATTCCCAAATATATATATTCCTCACAGTTCTTGATTGTTTCATGTTCGTTGACCATTAGATCTTCTACTTCATTCCCGATGCATAAGTATTGCGTTTTGTTTCTATTTACAGAGAGGCCCCATTCTTCATATGTTTTAAACAACCGTCTCGTCATGAATTCTAAATCTTCCTTGTCTGCTGCACTACTACTTGGTCGTCCGCAAAATGTAGAGTGTATAATGTTGTATCGTCGTCAAGTTGGATCCCCATTCCTGAACAGGATCTTCTCCAATGTTTTAGTGCTTCATTTAAATAGATCTTAAATAGTATTGGAGATAGGCAGCATCCTTGTCGTAAGCCTTTTGTTACTGGAAATTCGTCTGATAAGGTGTTGTTTAGTTTAATTTTTGATGATGCTTTATTGTATAATTGTTTAACTGGGGCGATGATCGTGCTAGTTGATGAAGATCGTTCAAGAGACTGCCACAGCTTTCTCACAGGAATCGTGTCATATGCTTTTGTGAGATCCACAAATAAAAGATGTATTTCCTGGTTTATTGCAACTTTCTTTTCATTCAGTTGTGCAAACTAACTTTTTATTTTAATGAATTCTCTACTGGCTGCTTTTTTCATGACTGTGATTTGCCCATCTTCTGCTCGTACTCTCCTGCTATCTCCTCTCCTTGTCAACGTCTCTCGTACATACTATCGCCGCACCAGTGTCTCCAAAAGCTCCTGGACCAAACTCCTATCTCATAGGAATCCAATTTCTTTCTAGTCGAGAGGATTTTCACTTAATTGACTAGTACCAAATATACTATATATTTGTTTGTTTATTACAGGATTTACTTTCGTTATCCACTACTACCAATCCTTGGGTTCATTCTACAGACACAAAACACCTTTCACAATTATTATTATTTGACAAGAACTCTACTAACTTTCAGTGCAGGATATGGAACAAAAACAACTATAGTGTATTTTTATGTATAAGAGAGTAATAAAACAATAAATTATGTATGCAAATCCCTAAACTGTTGATACGGGTGACTCAGTGAAAAACAGATATTTGTCAACAAGTTTACAGAAGTATATAGGAAAACAATTTTAAATTGAGTATGACCACCAGGTATAAAGGTTGGAGCAGAATAGAATACAATACTTGTGAGGGTTACTAATCCCTAAATAAGGTTGCCAGTGTCGGAGTGATGGAGGTTAACAGGTACTAATGAATTTGCAAGAAATGTAAGATGTTTATTTTATTGGTTATATATAACCAATAAAAGTTTAATAAGTACCTACCTATTTGCAAAATAAAGTTTAATTCTTTAGATAAAATAAAACGTTTTATTTTATCTGAAATGAGTGCATTCCACGAAGTAAGGGTTTCAACAATCAAACATTTAATTCTTTAATTCCAGGAATCTACGACAGTAATTGACTAGATAATTACCTTCTAAACTTATTCCACAGAAAATGTGATAGTGGGTTTTTCCATTTTGTAGGAAGGTCCAAGTGGCGTATTCAAAATTCTTAACAGTTCACTAAAAGTAGGTACTTCAGTTGCAAGGTGCAGTTTATTGTGTATACTAGTGTTATGGAAAATTTGGAAGTGCCGTGTAAACGCCGAAAAATTGGTCCTTTAACAGTTAATGAAAAAACATTAATATTTACTTGTTTTAAATCATTTACAGACAAATGTTTATGTGAAAGTGTTGATGAGACTGTTGAGTTAGTTAGCAGTACACTTGGTGTTGCGAAATCTACGATTTACAGGGTTATTAAAGAAGAGAAATGTGGTAGTTTTCAAATGCCACGTAATGCTCCAGGGAAACCAAAATTTCAAATAGAATATCATTTTAAAGAAGGACTTCGATGGAAAGTGCATGAATTCTTCTTTCGACAAGAATTTCCAACATTGGATAAAGTTCTTGTCTCAGTTCAAGATGATAAGGATTACCCAGAAATGAGTCGAAGTACGTTATGGAAACTTTTAAAAGAAATAGGCTTCCGCTGGAAAAAGAATCCCAGAAAGTCTATTTTATTAGAAAGAAGCGATATTGTCATATGGAGAAGACATTTTCTAAGAACCATAAAGGAAATGAGAAACCAAAAAAGAAAAATATTTTATCTTGATGAAACATGGATCAACGAGGGTCATACACCAAAGAAATTTTGGCAGAATGAAACTGTTACAAGTCAAAGGCATGCTTTTGTAAATAACTTATCTACTGGTTTAAACCCACCATCAGGAAAGGGACGCAGGCTGATAATAGTACACATTGGCAGTTCAGACGGTTTTGTTGAAGGTGGTTTATTAACTTTTAATCAACTCGTACCGGTGACTACCATGAAGACATGAACGCTGATGTCTTTCAAGAATGGTTCAAACAAATGATAGATCTTCTTCCTAAGAACTGTGTAATAGTAATGGATAATGCAAGTTATCACTCCAGACTTATAGAATGACTGCCCACAACCAAGTGGTTAAAAAAAGACTTGCAGAATTGGCTGAGTTCAAAAAATATTACGTACCATCCCGGATCTATAAGAAAGGAACTTTATTCGTTGTGTGCCTATCATAAAGAAAAATTTAAAAAATACGAAATTGATAAAATTGGCCAAAAATCGTGGAATGACAGTACTTAGATCCCCACCATATCATTGTGAATTAAACCCGATTGAACTGGTATGGGCACAGATAAAGAGTGAAGTTTCAAGAAAAAATACCACTTTTAAAATTCATGATGTTAAACAGTTGTTTTTGAAGGCCGTAAATAATGTAAAACCTGAAAACTGGGAAAAGGCAGTAAATCACACTATTAAAGAAGAGGAAAAATGTGGAAGCTGGACAATATTACTGATAAAATGATCGAGCCAGTTATTATAAATCTTGGTTCTGAAAGTTCATCTTCTGAATCTGATTTGGATTTGTAACAAGTAGCTGTAAGTTTTATATTAATATTTTTATTCATCTATTTAACATACCCTAGACGGTTTTAAAAACTCTTTTTCTCTTTTGTAATTTTTAAAAATTAAAAAAAAATGTGAATTTGTTAAAACCCTTTTTAATGTAGGCCAGTCAGTTCTAATATAGTGTGTGATAAAAGAGGTCACTTTTGTTTACATACACATAACACTTTATAACACTGAAATAATTCATTTATTTTTTACAATTATTCAAAGTAATTTTTCAATTAATCTTGAGCACGCCCATGGAGTGGTCGAAGGTACCAGTTAAAATTATGCTAATTACTCTCTCGTTCATAAAAATAAACTATAGCTTGTTCCAACGTTCAAATCACAATAATCTTTCTTTTCCCAAGCAAAACATGACTTCCTTTGCTGCAATTTCTTCTTCTGCTTTTCACCAATCAGACACACACATCCTACATACCACGCCCCTGCTTTTAACCAATTAAATTCTGTGACTAGTCAAACACAAGCTCAATGCTATTATGATATCACATAACCTTGGTATTTCCAAATTTTACATAAATAAGATCTTATCTTTGTTTTCAAGTTTCTAGAGACAATATAGCTAACACTACTTCGGTTATTGTATACTTATCCCTGGCCACAAAACTTTATAATTCTTTATCCAATTTCTTTGTAAACAAAATTATTAAACCTTGTATTCTAAAATTGCTATCTTTGGGCTATTAACATTAATAGTTTATGAGAAATCCTCTATTGTTATCATATGTTATCGTACAGATATCTATTCTCCTGTCTGCCTAGTTTCTACTAAATTAGAAAAACCATTACTCATTTAAATATTTATAAATCTAACATTCCTATTTATAGGAATATATAGGAATATATATTTATATTATTTATATATATATATATATATATATATATATATATGTATATATATATATATATATATATATATATATATATATATATATATAGAGAGAGAGAGAGAGAGAGAGAGAGAGAGAGCGAGAGAGAAATTATAATCCTCTTTTAGTTTTAGGTAGATATAATAACAAATGCTAATGGTAAGTGGAGACCGAACTGTGCAAGCTACTAATTATGTCGAGATAACGGCCTAAATCGGTCAGTAGTTTGCAATCTCCTGCCAGTGCCACTCAAGTGATCATCAATGTCTAGAATTTCTGCTAAATTAAACGTTAGTAATAAAACCGCAGATTGCGGCCACGATTGGCTACGGGCTTTCGCACGACTACTACAATTTCAGCAACTCAGCAGCGTATCAACAAACTTTGACGGACCCAATCCGCATGTTTTGTATTAACAAAAGGATTCCGAGTGGAAGTTTCCGAAATGGCCCATGCTGCTGTACTTGCACTTTGTTACTAGAAACGGCTGATTTGATGTTAGACCAGGAAAACTACACTCGAATTCTGTATTTCAAACAACGGTGGATGTATTGAACTATTTGCTTACCACAAATCTGAATGAAAATTCATTAAAATTGAGTAGTTCGATGGTTTAAAACTGAGTTTACGAATTTAACCATAGTCGTATGACGTATTACATTGTGTGATTTTTGAAGAAAAAAATGTTGACACAATGAACGTTCAAAAAATGCTTATCCCTTAATATACTGACACTTAAATCTTTCTTTAGAGTTAGCGCCCTGTCTGATGCTCGTCTTTAAAATCTTGTGTCATTTCTGCTCGCTATATGATCTGAGAGTACATAAAAGTGTTGACTCCTAATGGATTCTGAGACAAATAATTCTTTTGATAAGTTGATAAGGTTTTAATTTTATGTGGATCTCCATGTCACATTTTGCTGGTGGTCCACAAACTAACGAACGTTTTAAATGAAAATCAACAAAAATCCTCGAGAAAGACCAATGTGCATGTGGGAGGACATGCCCAGGAAAGATATTAAAAATATAAGGGTTGGATAGAGAAGATAGAGAAAGAGATGGAACGTACTTGATAGACAAGAAGGCAAAAAATATGAGAAACCAGTAGAACAGTTGTCATACACATACCTTAGCTTAGTATTAAATAAACGAGGAGAATATTTTTAGGAAATAAAAACTATAATTGTTTAAGAAAACTCTGAATATATTTTAAAAACGAAACACATACACTGGGGCTCAAGAATCACAACAACAAATGGTAGTTATTTTTTAAAAGCAATGACTGACAACAAACAGAAAGCAGACAAGCAACAAACAGAAAACTTTAAGATCTACTTGGCTACTATACAAGCAAAGGAATGTCCAAAAACAACTGTCTAATAAAATCCACTTTTTTTATGACGACATTATTTCTTCATTCTTTGTAACACCTCTATATTAGTTACTTTTTCAGTCCATACATTCTGTGGATTCTCCTGTAACACCACATCTCAAAGGAGTTTAATTTTTTAATTTCAGATCATAAACTGGTTAATATGAGCCTGAGTACTATAAATACTTACTTACAAATAACCCACACTTTCCTCCACTCACGTCAAAAAACACCCACTGGGCAGATTTTCAATCCTATCTATAAAAAAACACTAATCTTAATCTGCAGATCAAATTTACACATGACATAGATACAGCAGCTTAATACTTTACCACACTTGTGCAAAAATCGGCATGAATACACCACGAACTGAACTGAACGCAAACCAATACATACCACAAGTGTTCCCCTACAGTAGAAACAACATAGATCAACATATACTTAATAGACTACGTAGGCAACTTGGTGAAGCCATCAAAGCCGCAAACAACGAAACGTTCGAACATTACATAACAAACCTTATAGTAAGTGAACAGACGTTATGCAAGGCAACTAAGAAGCTTAAATCATACACAACTATTTTTTCCATCCGTAAACCAAACGTCCAATGGACCTGATCCGATTAAGAATAGGCCGGCGTCTTTGGTAAACATCTTACAAACAAATAAATCATTGAGAACCATAGTGAAAGCTTCATGACACATCCCTAACGAAATAATACAGATATATATATATGAAAGATCCCAGCATCAAAGAAGAGATCAGCAAATACAGTAAAAAGTACCAAGAAAGACTTGCGCATTCAAATGATTTCATGAGTAAATTATTGTATCAACACGGAGAATGAAGTTCGCAGAATAAAGCGTTATGAACCAACTGACCTATCAAGTAGATTTTAGGAGAATTATAGCTATTATAAATGTTAATAAATTTAATTTAGTACATCTATACATTAGTTGGTAATTTAGAAAGGATAGTTTTCTTTTGAATTCTTACCTTCATGTACCATTTTAAGAAAGTCATAACTCTAACGGATTATTTCTGGCGGTACAGATTTTTTAATAAAATGGAGTAATAAAAAAATAGTAAAAAGATATATGGTGGTCTTACAACCATCAAATTTTGTGATCAACATTTTCGTATAATGTTATTGAACGATGGTTTTTGTATCTGATCATTATCTTTCATAAGTAGAATTATAATTATGTACTTATTTTATTGGTGTATTTTGTTCTCCTCTTATATTTGAAGGTTATTGATGATATTTACGCTATTTTTTAATCATGAAATTCTATCATGGAAATCATTTTTGCAACCACACTATCTATTACACTCGATTTGTTATCATATAGATAACAATTTCAGTAAATTAATTTAACACCATCTAAGCATGTTTGAATGAAAAAAAATCTCCTCCCGAGTTTTTTACAGTCCTGTCTCGGGATTTTGTAAAAATACATTAAAAGAATTAGCTGAACACAAACAGCATCAATTCTTGGCTGACATTAGTCTTACTCAGGAAGACATTTCGGCTTTTCGTTTTCTCCTTTCCGAAAGATCGCAGTCTGCATACCAAACACTCAGGACCGGGATTTAATTAGATTTGGGGGATTTCTTCGAGTTTGTCTGCGGGTGTTTTTATTTAAGCTAGCCCTTGTATCGAAGGAGATTTGTTTTTAAATGGAAATTCAATCGATACGTTGTACCTGTAGACCAAATTGTCGAATGAGTGAGTTGTGAAAATGTGGAATGTGAACATTATAGGAGTATGTGTATCTAAGTTATAGAGTGACACCTATAGTTTTCTACGACAAAGACCTTAAGAGTACTAACATAAAATAACTTAATCATGTATCAATATTAGTCTTGATTAATATTATATAACTAGTCCAATCAACACTCATACTGCTTCCCAAAAAAGCCAATGCAAAGGAGTGCAATGAACATTGCACCATAACCTTGATAAGTCATGTCTTAAAATTGTTTTTAAAAGTAATTCACAATAGAATACATAAGAAATTAGATGAAGGCATAAGTAATACACAAATAGGATTTAGAAAAGGACTGGGAACATGAGATGCACTGTTTACAGTGAGTGTTCTTTAACAGCGATGCTTAGATATAAATCGGGAAGTATATGCCTGATTTATTAATTTTGAGTAGGCATTTGACAGAGTGCAGCATAATTAGCTTAAAGAAATTTTAATAAATAAAAACATAGACAGTAGAGACATTCAAATCATATGTAACCTCTATTGGAACCAAACAGCAAAAGTGAAAGTTGAAAATGAACTGACCGAGGATATCCAGATTCGCCGTCGGATCCGCCAAAGGTGTATTTTATCACCCTTGATATTTTATTTACACAGTAAAGCCACCTCAGAATTAGCGCTTGCCGAGGTTAGTGAGGGTCTTATAATAAACGGTGAGCCACTAAATAACATAAGATATACTGACGACACCATCCTTCTGGCAGGAACACTAGAAGAACTGCAACACCATGCTAAACAGCTAAATATAAGTATATTGCAACGATTATGGACTAAAAATAAATTTGAAGAAAACTAAGTTCATAATATTTACAAAAGCACAAAACATCAAAGTTAAGCTAATACTAGATAATACAGTAATTGAACAAATATCTTCGTACAAATACCTTGGAGTATGGATCACAGAAGCTACTGATCAGACAAAAGAAATAAGATGCCGCATTGAAATTGCTCGGTCAACTTTTAATAGAATGAGAAAACTTATTTGTAATCGCGATATCAATATATCGCTCTGGATAAGAATGCTTCGATGTAATATTTTCTGTATCCTTTTGTATGGGGGTGAAGCTTGGACATTTAAAAAACCCAACATTAAAAAAAACCAAAAAACTTTCGAAATAAGGTGTTACCGACGTATTTTGAAAATATCATGGATGGATGTAGGAAAACAATACGAAGTACTACGAAAAAAAAAATACGAACTACTAAGGAATTTAATATAGGGTAAAATCAAAGGCAGAAGAAGCGTAGGAAGACGTAAAATCTTGTGGCTACGCAATATCCGTGAATGGTTTGAATCCAGTTCAATTGAACTATTTAGGCGCGTAACCAACAAAATTATAATTGCTAGAATGATTTCTAATCTCTGATAGGAGCGGACCTTAGAAGAAGAAGAACTAGTTACCTACTGTAATCAATTTTTTTTTAAATACTTTTCGGCGTCACAAATTTATGTGGCGCAGTCAGTAGGATGTAACGAATATGAATCCCTATTAGTTTCAAAATAAACTGTGTAAAATAGATGCCGTACAAGTTTTAAAATTAAGAGCTAAGATGCTTCTTTGTATCAGTCATCTCCATCATGATCTGATGTGACGGTTATGAATAAAATAATAAAAAATACTACACACATTTTATAGTCGTATGAATGTTGAACAATTTAGCTTTTTAATACTACTAGAATCAAGAGCTGGCTGATAACGGCAAAACCATTTTAATTGATTTCAAATGTTAATCTAGTGCATTTTTTAGTTCCAACGATACACAAATCATGGTTAGATCCCATAAATTGATTCCATAGGAGGAGCTCTTAGTTTAGGTAAAGAGCTCTCTTTACCTCTTTAGGCTCTCAGTTTACCAGATTGCAATTAGTTATATACAATAAGATTCTGTGGAATAATATTTAAATATAAATGTCTATTTTAAGTACCTTGACATCACAAAAATTTTTCTTTTGGTTGTCAAACTCCGTAATTGTCGAAAAAACCTCGCCGTTAACTTTTACATTATTCAGCAAGTGAGTGTTTCATTATTCGAATATATCGTCAGTTAACTCAGCCTCAATGTTACCAACAGCTGAAAATCGAGCGACTTCTATTGACTTAGCTGATAAACTTGAAACGCTAAAGGGAATGTAGCACAGTGGATTAACTGCAACTGAAACAAATACACCAAGCAAAAGGTACGATTAAAATACTGAACTCGAGGAAATTTAGGTGTATTTTCATTGTTTAAACAGCTGGAGCAGCAGTTTGACATAATTTTAAATAGAGAATAGGGATTTTAGTAAAAAGGAGATATGTAAAATCGAATGAATGCGCAGACAAATCAAATAGATCGAGAACCGAAATAAAAATGCTTATACTTTTTCCGTTTAGCTGAAAAAGTATGTCCTATTCGATATTTACGTTGTGGTTTAATCATTTCTTCGTTGAGGCATCAAAAAAGCACTATAATATATGATATAAAAAGAAGAAATCAGCAACAAGAGTATACCACCAACATTAAGGAATTGATAGAAAGTCGGAGAAACAATATATACAATTATACATAATACAATATTACTTATTATTACAGAATACAACGACATACAGTGCTCGTCAAAAGTTCCCTCCGTCCCCCGTCCCCCGTCATACCTTTTAAACGGTTATACTTATATTAATTACTATTTAACTGGGAATAAGCCACAATTAAAAATAAAAATACGTTTATTGACGTTTCAATTTCCGCTTCGGAAATCGTTCTCAAAATACAAACAGTAAATTGTTTGTATTTCAATTATCAATTTACTATTTGTATTATTGTTTAACGAGAAGTTTAAGTTTTTACAAAGACAGAATGGTACGTACTGTAACCAACAAAGTAGCAGCTGTGTTAATAATTGGTGAATGTGGAAATAATTTCCATGGAGGTACCCCGATCGCCCTACATCGAGAGCTTATTTGGAGAAGCTTCTTCGGAAGTTTAAACAAACAGGTAGTGTTCAAGATGTCAAACGATCTGGTCGACCAACAATTAGTGATGACAAAAAAATTGGCATAATTTCAGAAATAATAGTAAGCCCTACTTCTTCTACAGCCCAAGTTGCATCTATCTATGGAATCAGTCAAAAGACAGTACACCGAGTGTTGTTACACAAATTAAAAAGTGTGCACCAACTTTCAGATGATGACCTGACTGAAGACTAAAATTCTGTGAAAATATGTCCAATAAAATTATTCAACAGCCCGATTACATAAAAACAATTTGTTTTAGTGTCGAAAGTACTATTTCTCCTAATGAAAATGTAAGCACACGCAATGAGAAGTATTGGAGTGACACAATACTCAATTCCTAGCAAGATGGTGCTCCTTCACATCAATATGGTGCAGTAAGACGTTACCTAGATGAGAAATATCGTGGTAGATGGATTTTACGACGAGGTAGCCAGCTCGGTGAACCTCACACCGCTAGATTTTTTTTGGTGGGATAATTGAAATCTAAAGTTTACGCTACAGCACCCGACAATATTGACATTTTGGAACAACGAATTGTTGAAGAATGTAATAGTTTAGATTTAGATAGAGGATGCATTACTGTCAGGAAGTAAATGGAGCACATTTTGAAAACTTACTATAAGTGTTTTACAATTTTAGTATTTATTTAACTTATTCATCAAAATGAGCTTAAATTTAACCAAAAATATTATGACTGAATAGGTATTCAAAGTCAAAGTCACAGTATACAAAATCAAAGAGTGCCACCAAATGCAGTCTTGCGTTTTTGAGATCGAAGTAAATTTGTCAATTTTTCTGTTTTTACTGTGTACTATATATATCTCGAAAAATAAGCATTTTGTCTAAATATTTTTTGCAAGATTTTTTGTAGAGGATTTAATTTTCTATCAAACTGATATTTTTTAAAATCCAAACAATTTTTTTAACAAAATGAATTCAAAAAACAATTCTAAACTTTTTTTCTTGGTCTAATAAGTATGAATTTTTGTATGAATTACACAATATATACAATATAATGTTATTATTAGTAGATGCATAGAATTTACACAACCATTTGCCGACTAGTGCTGTCAGTTTTTTCATTGATTAAAGAAAAAACCACTTGATACTCCGTTCGTCAGTGACAAAAATACAACTGAACCTCTATAATTATATGACAAGTCAATTTTGGGATCCCAAAAAGATGCAAAAGATCCCTAAACCCCTTCGTAGAGAGGTAAAAACGGTTTTTCTGTAGAATGAATTGTTTTCTCAGAAACAATGCTTGAAGTAACCGGCAATGCTTTAAATGAAATTTGTATTAACTTGACGGTAAAAATTCAATATCTTTTGATTAGGGTGTCCTATCGACAAAAATCAAAATGCAATTTAAAGGTAAGGGTGCAGATTTTGTTTGCAATGTTTGCAAAGTCAGTTTTCATAAAGCGGTTAAATAAACAAACGTGTTGCGATTTCTGCTTTTTTTTTAATGAAATCAATAAAATTTATCCCTGGCGATTTATTAACTGGGGACAATAGAATTTTCATTATAAAAGCCTAATCTTCAAAACTTTTAGGATAAAATTTCAATGAATTTGAAGAGACAATTCAAAGATGCCTAAAAAACGCTGAATTTAATTTTCCTCCTTACAAACAATCTAAAAAGTTTAAGACTGATTTTTTCGATTTATATATTTTTCACAAATTACACCTAATACCATCTTGGTGGAAGCATTTTCCGTGAAGTAAAATCGTTTGTAATTTAAAAGTTTAAATTCAGCGTTTTTTAGGTATATTTCAAATGCCTCATATTTGTTAGTTATATGTTTTGAATATTAGGCTTTAACAATGGAAATTCAGAATTATATCAGCTTGATACAAATTTTGATAGATCGATTCGGTAGATCTCCTACAACCCCCTATTTCCACCCCCCGGATAAAAGAAGGTGAAATAACTTTTTTAGTTTTCAAAAACTAACACCTCAGCAAAAAAAATTCAGTTTATTGGTATTGTTTTAAGAGAATAAATCTCTGGCGAATAGACTAGGAACAATGCATGTGTTGTAAACAATCCCATTTAACCTTGCTTTTATTGCACAATAATTATTTGTTCCTAAAATAAATTATAACTTTCATTCCTCTGTTAACATTTTCAGTCCCCGCTTCTGCTTTTAATAGAATTAAACGGTTTTTAATTTATTTTTCAGAACGGCGGTGCCAAAGATGGATTGGACATGAATCTGGCGCCGGCTTGGCAAAAGGGGTACACCGGAAAAGGGGTAGTGGTGTCGATCCTCGACGACGGCATCCAGACAAACCATCCCGACCTGGCACAGAATTACGTAAGCGTTTGTTTCTTATATTTTCATCTTTTTGAACTTGACTTATTTGGCTCGTTGAAGAATTTTTGTTAAAGTGTGCTTTATGGGAGTTTGAAATGTTTTCATGAACCTTTTATGTTAAGTAAATCAATTTTAAAAATGATAAATCATAGAAACGGTATGTTGAATGTACAGAATATGATAAAACCTTATGAACTAGTTTGCGAATAAATTTAAGTTATTGAACGTTATATCTAAATATATATATATATATATATATATATATATATATATTTGTGTTGCTTGTACCTAAACCTACTGTAATTTATAAGTAATTCAATAAGAAACTCGTACACTGAATAATATGCTGTTTCAGATAGATAGGCTTTTGTCAATTCACTGAGCTGATCAGATAGTCCTGCATTAAGATTGCAATCTAGTTTAAAAGCTCAAGAGATACTAAAAATCATCGAAGAGTACTATAGAACATTATATAGTCGAGATGATCACATTCCCGAAGTAGAAATTCCAGCAATACTAAATCAAGGGTCAGAGGAACTTCCAGATATAACCGAAGAGGAAATTAAGTCAGCATTAAAAGGTATGAAGAACAACAAAACACCTGGAGAAGATGGCATTGTAAGTGAAATGATAAAACTAGGAGGCGAATGCGTCATAAAGGCTTTAAAAACCCTTTATAATGCCTGCCTCTTTGAAGGAAATACGCCAGAAAAATGGAATAATGCTGTTATGATAATATTGCATAAAAAATGAGATGTAACAGAAATTGGCAACTACAGACCTATCAACTTATTATCTCATTTATATAAACTCTTTATGAGAATAATTACTAACAGACTGGGACCTAAGCTAGATTTTCATCAACCTCTAGAGCAGGCCGGATTTAGGAGTGGCTTTGGAACAAATGACCACCTACAAGTAATAAAATCCTTGATAGAGAAAGTTATAGAATACAACAAGCCATTGATATTAATATTTGTAGACTTTGAGAAAGCATTTGACTCAGTCCAGCATAGCTCCATGTTAAGAGCTCTTACAGAGTGCAGTATTGACCATAGGTACACAACTCTTCTTCGAAATATATATGATAGCGCAACAGCTGCTGTAAAAATGTACTATGGTGACACAGACACATTTCCCTTGGAGAAAGGTATTAGGCAAATAGACACTATCTCTCCTAAACTATTCACCGCCCTATTACAGAGTGCTATGAGAAAAAATAATTGGGAAAATATTGGATTAAATATAAATGGGGAATTTTTGAACAACTTGAGGTTTGCAGACGACATAGTCTTTATTGCAGATCAGGTAGATCATGCATGCCAACTTCTTCAAGACCTTCAGAGCTCTTGTGCACGAGTTGGCCTTAAAATTAATTTTTCCAAAACACAATACATGACCAACCTGGTTCATTGTAATTCCATTGCAACCGATCTTGCTCAAGATCGGATGCAATGGAATTATTTACGGGAGGCCTATGTTCAGCAGTGGACGCAAAATGGCTAATGATGATGATTCATAAGCTATTTTTCTTTGTAGTTTTACTTTCTAACTGACATATAATGGGAAATTGTAAATGTTAACATTACATATGTTATAATATATAAATCTTAAAATTACAATTGTTATATATGACCTCTTAAAACATTATTTTGTTGTTAATATTCATTCATTTATGCGACGGTAGTTTTCTATTCTAAAGGTCTAGTTTTTATCTAAGAATGCAAAGAGATTGCAGCGAGCTCCTTGGTTTTGATCTACTCCTATATCACTGTGCAATCGTCCAAAATTTTATCGCGGAGAGTGCTACTTGACAATTTTCACACATTGGCGGTAAAGTTCGCGTGAAGAGGTGTTTATGTGTAAAGTTACTGTGTCCTAGTCGCAAACGTGTTATTTTCACTTGGTCCTGTCTATTCGCTGTTAGTTAGGCCACCGTTTCACTAATTGTTTGATTTCCTTGAGTTTATTTTGTGATGCACTCCACTTATTTTGCCACACACTTAACACTATATTTTATTTCTGACTTAAAGTCATCTGAGGAAACCTCATTTATAAGAATGGAGTCCTGGCTGAAGGTTGCTAAGCGGGCTTATAGTTCATCTTTATTTCCTTGTATACCTGAATGTGATGGAACAAACATAAAGTCAACAGTGATCTTATTATTATTTAGAATCTCTCTTTCTGATTGGATATGTGAGGCAATTGGATTATTGGTATATAAACGTTTAATAGTGAAGTGAGCTTAGTGAATTGGTTATTATGAGAGACGGGTACTCTTTTTACTCTTTTATGTGGTTAAGTGCTTGTAATATTACAAACAACTCTGTATTGGGTGTGAGGATGACTGCACCAACACCGCCTGAAGATATGGATGAGTCAGGGTATAGCTTATAGTGATTTTTATATAAAAATCCACAAGGAAAACAATTCCTGTAGCTGGCTGTATACCACGTATCACAAAAAAGAGGTTAGTCTTCGTAAATGGGTATATTTATTTAAAAAAAACCTTTAAAAGGACTACATCAAAAAAACAAACGTTTTCGGACTAAGCAGTCCATCATCAGGTTTAAAATTGCATGAAATAAGTATAAACCATTTAGTTAAAGCAAACTTGGTTATTTTTAAATTTTGACTAGGGTTAAAAAGCAAAAATGGTTATACTTACTAGGTTAAAATGCCTGAGCCACCAAAATACCAGGGTAAAAACCCTTTAAATTACATGTAGTTCTTAAAGATTGTACATATTGTTGTTATTAAAATGTGATGTTAAATATTAAATTGAATTTGACTTCAGGTAACATGTTTGAAGTGAGTTCCAGTGTCCGGATAGTAAACCTCTTCAAACGGACTACAGCTGGTAACTGATTGACAAGATATTGACATGAATTTTCTAAGTTTCCATTTCTATTAAGAATGATTATTTAATCAGGTCTGTTACAGTCTCACTTTTTTTATATATACTAAGGTTAGTTTTGGTATTGGTATTAACCAAGGTGAAGAAGTTTGTTAGGAGAATTACAGGAAATTCAAAATATAGGTAATGAAGGTTTCTTCTAACTCTTTCGTAAAATGGTGGATCTAGTCTTGTTGTAAAGAAAGTATCTTAAAATCAATCAGTGAACGTATTGGTATAAGTAGGGTGTTCTTTATTACTAGATATTTTAGAAGCATATGAAAGAGAAAGGTATTTGCATCGTAAACTTAGGGGTGGTTCTCCTGTTAAGCATTGAAAACTTTCAACTGGTGTCGTATGAAATGCACCTGTAGCTATTCGTAGAGCTGTGTTCTGAACAGTTTCTTTGATTTTCAATACTAATACTTTGCTTGATGAATAAACAACTATCGCACCATAGTCGAGTTTGGATCTAACTAAAGATTTATATACATGTAATAGTGTATTTTGATCTGCTTCCCAGTTTTTTAAAGGAAATGTAAAAAAGTATTTTTGAAGTGTGTATATTTTAAGCAATTCCTAGCTGAGCGCTTTCGGCTTTACAAAGCCATCATCAGAGCTATGCTACAATAAAATGTTCTTATAAGTACTAATTGGTGAAGATTATAATTTTTAACTTACGTCAATTTATAAATACCACTACAATGGAGAGATCTCATTTCCTTATATGTCGAAATTATGATTTTTTAGTTGTTGAAATTCTTAAAAAAACATATAAAAAACCGACACTGGACTTCACAGACACGTTAAAAAATTGAAAAAATTTTTTGTCATGGTACGGGTGTAAGAACCCGACCATTGATTGATGTGAGGAGGTAGACAGAATAGAACTAATGAAATCAAATGTCGGTCCTTTTAAACGATTTTTCAAAAGTGACAGTTGACAAATGTCATATATAGGAAATAGAGATTGTTTTTTAAATTCTTACAAAATTATTTAATAGTTTGGAATTACTAATAGTCATCAAAGACTTTCTAAAAATTAAGTTTTTAAATTAAATTTTATGTGTTCATCACATCATATAGAATGAATGATGAACATTAGTTTGTAAATTCACTCAAGTCATTGCTCAAGGTCAATGTATGTTCAGACAGCCATCCTTAAGAAACAAGGGCTCAAGTTGTTCAACAATAATATAAAGAAGAAACATGGTATTAATGTTACATTATCTGATACTTAAGTGTATTGAGAATTGTATCTCTTGATGAAAATTTGTAAGAAATTTGCATAAAAAATTTTTTAAGAATATATTTTCATGTTTCAATTAAGAATAACTGTCAAATGAATTACAAAATGTTGTAAATTTCTAATAAAGTTTAAAATTTTGTTTAAAAATATAAAATTATGAAAAAATATAATAAGATTGCATGAGGTCACCCTTCTTCCTCTAAAGTCTCCCATAATAATTTAAAAAGAGGTTTATAATTGCAATTGAGGTTGATTTGTGTGTTTAAGCAACAATCAGGGTTTAGTTTCATTTCTTTGGATATCTTAAGATCTTCCAAGAGATTCATGAGTCTAAAGTTTTTATTGGGAATGTTGTGTAAAATTTTACTGTTTTCAGAAGGAGAAAAGGAATGATTATTAAATTTAATGTGATATCCAAAGTTTGATTTTTCTGGGTTATTGAGGTGTTCTTTGATTCTTTGATTCAGAGTTCTCATTGTTCTACCTACATAAGTCATATTACAGTCACCACAGGACAGCTTGTAAATACCACTTCTGTTTAGTTTGTCAACTTTGTCTTTGGTCTTGCTGACGATGGACTTGATGTTATATTTGGTTTTAAAGGAGATGTTTAAGTCACTGATTTTATTAGCAAGTACAGTTGAAATTTTTTCTGAAATTGGTCCTAAGTAAGATAAGGATCTATATATGGAAGTAGTGTTGGATTTTTTATCAACATTAAAAGCTTGGTTTAGTCTCTTTTTGAGTATAGATTTTCTAATGACTTTATCAACAGTAGTCGAAGGAAAACCATTGTTGTTTGCTATCTGTTTAATGATGGAGATTTCTTTATTGTAATTTTCTTGAGACATAGGG